CAGCCGTCAATGGAGGGGAGACGCGGAGGCACCGAAACGAGGCACCTAGAGTAAGCTTTACACCTCGTTTACACCTCGTTTACGCCCGGAGATGCGTTCTGTGGGCGAGCTGGTTCCACACGGCAGCCCCCGGGCTGAGTGGGGTTTATCCCGACTGTCCCGGGCGGGAAGGACGGGCTTATTGTGTAGCTCACACTGTCTTTTACACCATTTGCCCCAGAGGTGCTGACACGGGAGCTGCCCCGACTTCCTAAAGACTGAGCTCAGTGTAATGGAGGAGAGGAAGAAGGAGGAAAGGAGAGGAGACACCGAAGGAAGGAGACAGAGACGGGCAAGGAGCTCGGTGTTTGTATTTGGCGCTGGAGAAAGGCATTGCCTCGGGGTACCCAGGGCTTGCATAATTTGCCTTCCCGCCCCTGGCACTGGCAGGGAAAATGCTTTCCAAGGATGAGTAAAGCCCTGAGAGAGCCAGCAGCTCCAGGGAAAAAGGAAGGTGTCACCTGGGGAGCAGGCGTTTGATGGGACCTGCCAGGCTTTCCCTGGGAACCACCCCCCTCTGCCTGTCTCTCTCCGTCAGAGGGATTCCCCCAGCCCCTCACCACCTCCTCCATCTCACCCATTCCTGGCAGGAACCTGGCGGAGAGGAGAGGATGGGGAAGGGGGACGAGCACGCAGGCACAGGCAGAGGGCAGAGCCCAGCCCCTGACAACGGCGGAGGGGGAGAGGCTGGTGCCGGCTGTGCCTTCCCTGCCCCGTGCTTTGAGGTGAAGGAGAAGGCAAAGGCATTCCACATCTCTGCGGATGTGCAGCTCGAGCAGGATTCAGAGGGAAAAGGCAAGGCTGGGGGGCACTGATTTCCCAGCACTTTCCCGTGTGCACACACGTTCCTGCATCAAGTGGGGAGGAGGGGATGCAGCCTTCCCTGATCATACTGCCATGTATTTCTCCCCCACCCCAACCCCCAAGTTTAGGGTAGAAGGGAACAATTTCCTTACACTGGCAACCATCCATTATGTCTATGGATCTGCTCCCCACCCCATTCCCCCTCTCTTTCCTGTTTTGATGAAAGGAAAAAATGTTCTGCTTTCCTTCTTTATTTTTCCAGACTGGTGAATAGCACTCGAAAGGAATTTCTCTCCCTTCCCCCTTCCCCTCTCCCAGTATAATAAATATATACGTCTGTGTGTGTGAATGCACCACACATCACAGGTCATCTGTTGTTTTTCAAAAGGCATATACTATTTTTGTTTCCAAATTGATTAGGTGGGCAGCGGTCCCCCTTTCCACTGGCACCACCCCAAACACCGCTTCCCCTGCCCTCGCCCTCTGCCACTCACCATGTCCCCATCCTTTGCCCCTGGGTCCGCAGCGAGCGGCGGTGGCGGTGGCAGCAGCGAGAAGGAAGCTTTGCTGAGCTGGAGTAAAAATAGCCCCAGCAGTTACTCAGCTCAGAACGTAACGTGACTCATGTGAAACGAAGATGAGGGTCGAAAACCAAAAGCAAGCAGCTCTCTCCCCCTCGGCCCCGCCACCTGCTATTGCTGCTCACGTCACAGAGCAAAACCCACTCAAAGTGCTCCTGGCTGGGGGTCAGGGCATCAGCCGCCATGGAAAGCCCCGCTTGCGCTACCTGCAGGAGCCGGTCCTCTTGCCTGCACCCATCTGGTGGTACTGACACCGGCAGCAGGCGGATTTGGTGATGCTGAGGCTGACTTTCGGCTCATTTATTAATGGCCCTTAAGCAGCGGGCCCCGAGCAAAGCTGACATCCCACTGATACAGGGAGCTGAAGCGCTCTGCAGCGGCACTCTTGTACCAGCAGCTGGCTTTTGACGGCACAAACGCAGCCAGGCACCCCAGTTTGCTGTGCCTGCCCTGGCCTGAGCCTGGAGAGACGAGCGGGGTGGTGCCCACCCGCAGCCCACCGCTGTCACCGTGCCCCCCATGCCGTGTGGGGGACAGCTTTGCTCCCTGGGGTGGCTGGGAGAGCAGCACGCCTGGCCTGGCAGGAGGCAGGCCGCCGCTATCTTCTGGCCTGTGTAATAAAGGAGGGAGTTTAAAAATAGACTTTGAGCTGCAATGCCGGAAAGGCAGCGAGACGTATAGAGCGGGTGTGTATTTATCCTACACGCCCTGCGCCTGCCGCCCCGCTGCCCCGGAGCAGAGGCACCGCTCGCCGCCCGGCCTGCGAGTACAGGGCTGAGGGGAGCCCCGAGCTCTGCCCCACAGGTGCCAGAGCCGCTCAGAGGTGCCCACCCACCACCCCATCCCGAAGGCATTTGGAGCTGTGGGGCACGCGCCTCTCCCCCACGCCAGACCAATATGATGTGCGGCTCCTCCACCCCCCGTGTATCCAGACAAAGTGGCATCTCTCAGGACAAAGCCTTTCAATAGATCCCCTGCCCTCTGCCCTCTCCTGAACAATGAGAAATCAAGGAATATTGTCCGAGCTGAATAAAAAGATCTAAATTTAGAGTGTCTGATGTGTTCTTGGTTTCCTGCCATAACTCCCCTCCTCCCCATCCTCCCTCTTCATTGCTTGCTTTGCCTTATGCACAGAAAGGTTTCTGATGGGGTGAGATCACCACCAGGACCCTGTCTCCCCAGTGATGAGACAGAGGGGAATTCCAAGTTTGACTCTAGTCTCTGTTTTTCTAAGACAGGGAGGAGGGGAGCACACTGGTTTTTTCCTCACCAGCTTAGATGTGCAGAAAAGGGAGGGAAACCTAAGATCAGGAGAGAGGAAACTCTCTCCCACTTCAGCCTCCTCATGTCATGGCCCTGACCTGCCCCAAACGCTGTCCATATGTTTCCATCTGCTCATGGCATCCTCTCCTCCAGCTCTGCCACGGCAAGTACTCAGAGCAGCGCTGCCCCTGTGCTGTTCCAGCCCTCAAACCTGTAGGACCCTCACTGGCCTCCCACTTTCCCCATGCAGACCTGGCCGGAAGCAAGAAGCTCAGAAAGAGCAAATAAAAGTAGAAAAAAGCCTGATACAACCCCCAAAAATGCCCAGAGTGGAGGGAGAGGAGGGGTGTTATCCAGCAATGTACTCCAATGTTTAAACAAGGGACTCCCTTGGGTTCCTGCCTGATAAGTCTGGGTGTCAGGGGAATCTGTTCATTTGTTTTCTTTTTTAAACAAAAAGGCCTTCCCATAACCACAGTGAGGAGGGAGCCAACACCTCTTGACAAACAGACGGGTCTTAAGTGCACACATGGGAATCCTTTCAGCCTTGCTCCTGGAGAGGAAAAAAGCCTAGGCTGAGTACTGACCACATTGCTCAGTGTCAGTGGAAAGGGAAGCATGGGCCAGCAGCATTTTCTGCACAAAGATGGACACCAGCAGCTAACTTGTTTGCCAGCATGTCTGTGGGGTGTCTGGAGGTGCAGAGATCTTTTCCAATAATGGAATCCAGGCAGGTGGGCTGAGAGACTGACTCAAAAGCAAGGAAAACTTTTCTCACCCTCCTATGGCTTCAAGCAGTGTCTCCCAAGAGCTTCCTCTGACCCTCCCCAGCTTGGTCACTGAGTTGATAAGCAATTGGAATGGTGGAATGGGACTTTGAGGCCAGCCAGGCCCTCCCTGCTTTGGTCTCTTTCCCTGGCTGCATAATGTGTCTGGGGGGATTATGAGTCTTTTTTATTACTATTATTGCTAATTTCCCTTCTACCAAGCATTCAGGGAGAGGCTCTTTAGAATGACAGCACACCAAGTGTACCAGAGCCATTGCTGGCACAGGAGAGGAGAAGGAGCAGCACGAGGTGATCACAGGGAAGGGGAGAGCAGCCACAGCCCAGCCAACAGAGTGTGAGCCTGCAGAGAAGCCAAGCAGGGCTGGACCCACTGGGGCAGAGAGAAATGCTCCCCTTTCCTTCCCTCTCAGAAAGAGTGAACAGCACTCAGTGTGGGACTCAGCAAGTGAGAGGGAGAGCTGGGACCCTTTTGCTGCTGGCGAGTGAGTTTAGTGCCAGTTCCCAGCTCGGAGGGATTGGCAGTGCTGGAGGCTGGGGAATGGAAAAGTTCAGGTCTCCAGTTCCATGTGCAGCTGCTGCCAGAAAGCATCAGACTAATGGATACAGCAGGGTAGGAAGGGAAAAAGCAGCACTAAGGCCCCTGGAGAGGAGGCTTCCTACCATGGTCTGGCTTGTCACCAGCAAGAAGAGGGCTGTTCCACAAGAGGGGACACTCCAGATGTCACTCCAGCCCAGGTGTGACCCCGCTGTTCCAGGTATAGTTCCTCAGTACCTAAGCAGAGACAGAGATGGGGCTGGAGACGATGTGACCCACAAAGCAGGTGTCAAGTCTGTCAAGGAAAACTGGTCAGTAAGCCAGGACAGCCAGGGCCAGGAACAGGCACGGGTATACCTCCAGAACAGCTGGGGCTAAATGGAGCATAACATCAAGGTGTGTTCTCACACCTCACGGAGGTCTGGGCTCCGTGGACGGCTCCTTGTAAAATGCCTTGGCTGCTGTCCATTGGATAACACACAGCAGGGTCACGGAACAGGGTGAGGATGGTGGCACAGGACCAGTTTAAGGTCACAGTGTGAGGACAGGGAACTTGGAGCCAGGTTGGGATCATAACTTGGAAGCAGTGCGGGCACATGAATGTACTTCAGAGACACAGAGATTAAAAAAGACTCCCAGAGGCAGGCAGGCATGGGGAGGGGTGCCAAGCCCCACTGTGGAGAGCCAGGGAGTGGGAGGGGGCCTGGGAAAGCCAGTGTTGAGAAGCCATAGGGAGAGAAAAAGGGATGCAGTAATACCCTAAGGTCACTAGGGAAGCAGTGGGGTGCAAAGTCCACAGCCTTCACCGAAGAAGGAGGTGTGGGTCCAGGTCGCACACAGCCCAGGACCGGGTTCCAGCACAGCTCGGGACTGAGGAGAGCTCAGCTCAGGCCAAGCACACCCCCAGCATGGTCCCACAGGTGGTCACCAAGGCGACAACAGGGACAAATTCCAGTCCCAGCCTTGGACTGTCAGCAGCAGCAGGAGACGGGGCTGAAGACAAGGCTGCCCCACGGGTCCAAGGTGCATTCTGGAGACCAAGCTACCACCAGCTGGAGACTGGAGTCCACTTGGAACAACCAGTGAGGAAACCAGGACAGCTGGCTATGAGGCTGGGCACTGATACAATGACAACAGAGCTCAGGCCAGGAGCAGGTACCTGGACCTGAGCTTAGATGCAGTTTACATGGGGTGAGGGGCCCAGGTGAGCCTGCCTGGGGCCATTTAGCCCCTCCAGTGTGCTCATGGCACTGCCAAGCGTTAGCCATCCCCAGGGCAGGATATTTCCAGCCTCTTTAGGGTGTGGGACCTGTAAATCTGTCCCTGGTGAGGCTCACCATCTGGACAGGATGTTGATTACCTAAACCAGCCAGAGAGAAAAGAGGCTCAAAAGCCAAGATACACCTGAGCAACATGCAGTCAAGCTGAACCTTCCTTGCCTGGCCTCATCCTTCTTTCCCTCACTCTCCCTTACTCTCAGGAATGACAACACAAGATACTGCCCCCATCTCAGAAACCTATGCCAAGAAACTTTTATTTTTAAATTCACAAACAATGACCAAGCAGCTGGTCCAAGGATTTTTTTTTTTTCCCCTTGCTAACAGAGTGGAAATTATATATATATTTAATTAGCTCATCGGAGCTAAATTTCCCTTCCCACCATTCTTCATTAAAGGCAGATGTAAAATGACCCCCGACTCCAATCTCTATTGAAGGGGGTGTGACCCCTCGCCATCTAACAGAAGTTTCCAGAAAGCCAGTTTCTCCCATCCTGCCTCTTTGCTTTGTCCAATTGTTGGTAGAGGGAGCCAAGAGTTTAAAATGCCATTTTGGCTGCCTCTCCATTATCTTGGGCAGACGGAGGGTTGAGATACCTCAGAGAATGGAAAAATCCCGATAAAGGGCTGTGGTACAGATATACCCTCACGTCTCACCAGCTCTTGGACCCAGCTGGGATTCAAAGATGCTTTCTTGCTTTTAAAAAAACCCCAAACTTATTTTTTTTTTAAATACCAGCCATCTCAAGCTCTGGCTGGACTTGAAGTAAAGCCCAGCCTGCAGGTCTTCAGCTTCTGCACCTAAATATAAGTCCTTCCTTATGCACTGGCCGTGTGCCATTCCAGAGCAACTCTCCTGACCTCAGAAGAGGGGGCTGCCTGCCACCTTCACGGACACCACGCTGCCACCAGTGCCACCAGTGCCAGGAGAGGACCACGGTCACTGCATGGGGACTAACACAGGTGCGTGCATTCAACCACCCGAGGCACATCAAGGGGACACAGTATTCTCTTCACACCTCTGAAAACTGTGTTGAAACCTGTAAAACCCTGTGTTTTCTTCATGTTCCCCTGAAGGTATTCTCTGAAGGCATTGGTTTTTTTCTCCAGGCCCCTTTTTTGAGGAAAGGCACTGGACTGACTGACTGTCCTGGTTCCCAAAGTCCGGAAGTGGCAAAAGGAGCCCACGTTCCCTTTTTGCTGCCCTTGCCAACCTGCCCAGATATTTGTGTGAGCAACAGGAGACAGAATTCATGGCACACACATCCTGTACAACCACTGCTCCTCACCTTGAGAAGGGCCTTGTGCTCCAAGGTCCAACACAATCTCCTTCTCCTTCCCACCGAAGTGGCCAACCAGAGATACCTGAAACATGGATTTTGGTACCTTTGCTATACCTCAATCTTTCTGCCAACTTTCTTCTCGTTCCCTCCCCTCCCCCTGCAATTATTTATGACCTGGATCTGGACTTGTCTTAACTAAGCAGAAGATAATAGCATGATGGATGCTTCTAGCATGTTTGGGTGCCACAGTGACCTGGACTTGACTCAGAGCCATTGCTGGTGGTTGGCTCTTGCTTGGAGAGGCACCCTCCAGGATTTTGAGGTGATGCATATGCTGTGAGTTGGACCCCTCCAGATGCCCCAGACTCCCCAGTCAGTCTGCTTGGCATAGGTTCAGGGCAGGACATGCCAAATGGACTGTTTTGGACCTGGCAGCAAGTTTGGGCTTCTCTGCATGGCTGTGGACCCATAATGGAAATGCCTCAAAGTTTGGGAGTTGTTTGATCACTGTCTTAATCTCCTTCAATGTTTGAGCCACAATAGAAGGTCAAGACAGACGTAAAGGCCGGCTCCTGCTGCTGCTCCGGAGTGACTGCGAATAGGTCAGACTTATCTCAAGAAAACACAGCTTTAGGAATGGCATGGACCCTCTTGTCCACCTGTCTGGCCTCTCCTTCTCCCTCTCACTCACTCCCTGCAGGACTCTCTGCAGGACTCAGGGCCTCAGGAATCTCAGCAATGCCGGTCACACAAAGCCCTCTCCACTGACAATAGCTCCTTCCTTCCTTCCCCCATTCCTACTTCCTTACCCTATTCCTTCTTGCCCCTCTGGAACTCTCACACATTCCCAAAGCTGCTCCCAGGGGTTTCCAGAAGCTCCTGAGCAAAACACCCTTCCCACCCCGCTCCCCCAGCCATGCAGGGCAGCCAAGTGGGTGCTTTTGGGGAGGAGGGGTGTCCCCACGATGCAGCTCTGCTTGGGAACAGACATATTTACATCTCTGTCTGTGACCGAGGGTGTGGTTTCAAAAACTGGCCCAAGTCACTCGGAAAAAACCTTCTGGAGAAAGCAGCTCTCTTGCCTTCTCCCCTCTCCTTCCAGCTGTGCATTCTCTTTTTTTTTCCTTTTTTTTTTTTTTTTTAATATATATATATTTTTTCCCCCTGGTTCATCCATTTTGCCAGGATTGTTTTCAGCCTGATCAGCTCCAGCTTGCCACCCTGCCACCTGCTCGCTCATGCTGACAGAGGAAGCTGGAGAAGGCATGGCCAGGCTGGAGGAACCAGCCCCTTTGCTGTCAGCAGAAGCTGAGACCAGCAGAAACCACTCCTAAAACCACTCACTCCCAATCCCTCTCTCTTCATACTGGGAAGTATCCGCACGGTTCTGTGGGATATACCTACCGGTGGCTCTGAGCAAAAGATGCTCCACACATCTCCAGAAGGGCACATAAGTGTGTGCAGGAAGATTTCTGCCATATAATTTCTTACATGGGAATGGATGCCATGCCAGTGGCCTGAAGGTTCTCTCTGGACTCACATGTGCCCCTGTATGGGACACATGGCCTGTGGGATTTTCTGTGTTTCTTATGGGAGCAGCCATATGCAACTTTGCCTTTTCCTTGTCCCGGTGGAGTTTGATGGGCCTGGAGGTGGGAATCAAACCCACACAAGCTGCTTTGTTCTTCGGGGACTCGGCTGAGGGAAGTGAGTCTGGAAGAAGCAGCAGGGTTGCTATAAGCCTCTCTCTTCTCCCCCTCCTCCTCAGCTTGTTTCCTGACACAATTCCTATATAGGACAAGTTGCTGTTGCAATCAGCTCTTAGGTTAATGAAACCCTGAATTAACCCCCCTTTTCTCCCACCTCTTCAGGGAAACTGCCCAGCAGGCAAAACAAATCCTGGGTATCTCTTCTCTGCTCTGAGGGAGGTACATTCCCAAGGACATGTGTGGGAACTCAGGCTGGAGTGGCCTGCAGGTTGAGGACCAGTTGATAAGGACCTTTAAACCTTTGAACCCCGCTGCACAGAAGAGCACAGGGACATTTACCGCTCTCAAAGAGGATAGTAGGAAGAGAGGGAGGGAGAGGCAGGCTTGTGTAATTGGGATTCCTTCATCAACAGACAGTAACCCCCAGGGCAGGAGCAGATAAGGGGGCAGTGAGATCTTTCAGACATTGCCAGCAAGGTGTTGGCTGGCCACAGACACCCTGCTTCACTGGTGATCTGAAGGGCAACCTGGCTGACTGGCTTGGAATAAAACACTGGGTTTGGAGAGAGGATACTCCCTTCCTCCCTGAGCTTTTCTGTCAGGTGCAGGGGGACTCCAGCTCCTAGCTTAGCCAGGGGTGGTGAGCACATTTGGAACTTGCCCATGCTGGACTGATCGGTCCATTTTTCCAATATGGAGTGTTTCCTCATTTAAAGCTTGCACTGAGGTTCCTGCCTGATTCTACATGTTTCCGGAGCTATTTTTTTTTACCTTTAGCACTGATGGAAATCACCAATCTAAAGACTTCAGTACATTAATACTATGTATGTGTATTTCTGCCTCTTCTTCTGGATTAGGAGGTTGCAGTTCAGCTTGTGGTGGGGCTAGCAAAGTCCCTCTGCCTGTGATGTTCATGCAGGACACTGGGGAGCAGGTCTCCCTCTCATTTGCACCTTTACTGCATCCTAGATCTGAGTGATGCTGACCTCCTTCTGCTGAGGGACTGGGCTTGTCAGGAGCGAGGCGTTCTCTGCTCCTGTTTTAGCTCCATGCAGGGATATAGCAGTGGGCTCTGAATCATGAAGACCTGTGATTTTTTTGCTGAGAGGTGGTGCTGGGTATAAATGTCAGACTTGGACTGATGTTTCTGTAAAAATGCAGGGAAGCTGGAAGGGGCCTGGGGGAGGGACCATGAGTTATACAGAACAGATCCTTTGGTCCTGCCTGGCACTAGCACTTTTAGCAACAATGGTAATATTCATCATCATCATAGCATTCAGATAGCAATTTCCATCTTGCAGTTGCTGTGTGTGCACTGACTCATTTACTTTCCCTGGTGAGACAGGGAGGAATTGTTAGCCCATGGCTGAGATGTGAGGGGAAACAGACATCCCAAGCCCTGCAGAGAGGGTCAGCAGTGGGGTTTAGTTGATAAAATGGTCTCTGCCTCCTAGCTCCACATCCAAAAACTCTGTGTGAAAAGCGCCTACTAAAACGCAGCTACACCGTGTAGCCACAAAGGACTCGGTGAATCAAAGCCTTCATCTCTCCCAAGCTACGTGAGACTTTTATTTCCCCTAACAGAGCTGTTTCGGTGCGTGGGCACATGGGAAGGATTTTGCCACCACTGTAAGCTCCTAAACTCCTGTTATGGGCTCTGGCACCTTGCAGTGGGACTAAAGGGGCTAAGAAGCGTATCCAACCGCGGAGCCACCCGCGTGACGCACAGGCCACCGAGCGCCATGGAAGGCGGGCTGGTGGCTAAAGCCTTTTTCCCAGGCCGGCCTCCCCCGCTCCCAGCTGTGCCGGGCAGGACCCTCCTTGCCACCATGGGACCGCTGCGTCTGTGGCTGTGTCATCGCTGGCCAGGCCTGCACGGAGTCAATAGCAGCCATTGTCCCGGGAAAGGTCACCCGAGCCAGGCACGCAGGCTGCAGCGAGCGTGGAGGCTGTGCTGGAACAACTGAGCATGGGGAAGGGAAGCGGGGGCAGAGGGCAGAGGGGGATGAGGGGCTACAAGGGGCAAGGACGTCGGAGAAGGTCTGGGTTGCCTCCTGCCTGGGGGAGGTTTTGCGTCTGCATTCAGCGTGGAACTGGCCGATTTCCACAGGGTTAAGCTTGCATTTGTGTGGGCAGCACCTGGACCCTTGTTGGGAAACATCTGACACCATAAAGCTCAGGGCTTTCCTTGGCAATCTGCTTTTCCCATAGCTGGCTGTGCTTTTCTCTTCTTCCCATCCTGAAGGCAGCGCTTGCAGGGCTTTAATGACTTTAGCACCACACCTACAGCCGGCATCACCTAATCTCCTCTTACACGTCTCCGTCCCCAGACAAGTGCCGTGATTTACTCTGTCTGACCTCCTGCTGTGCCACACAGTGAAGGAATGTCCTCTGCGCTGGATCCCATCACCTTTATCACCTTTATCATCCCAATGAAGTGCTACGTGCATAGTGCCAAGGAGTTTTTTATGCCTGTTGAGCAAGACCTTCTCTCCCTGGCCTGTTAACATTGGGTCATTTGTGCTTCTTTCTGAAGCTTCACAAAGAAAGCGGGGCTGGAGCCTTTCTGGCAGTCATTTCCTTTCCCCTCATCCCAGCTCTCTGGAAAACACACTGGAATTTCAGTAACAAATATTCCTCCAATTTCACGTTCAGATGTCTGGGTCGTGAGTCCCACCCTGGTTTCTGAAACACAGGGTTCACCAGTCCAGAATGGGTGTCTGCCTTACCAATTCCTGTGAGGATATCCATGAAACCACTCACAAAGTCAAAGCAATTGCCAGCATTTTTTCCTAATCTATTCATAGTTCTGTAGGGTTTTACTCAATGCTCTGGAAGCATATGCCATTGGGTGATCATCTTGCATTTGAACAGCTGCTAATCTCTGCAAATTTGCATTCACCGGGTTTTTTTAGTCTCCTCAGTTAATCTCAAGGCATTTGGTTTTGGGGTTTCTGTAACAAGTATTTTTTAATTTTCGAAAGCAGTTCTCATTATCAGAGGGATCACCCTGGGACAACTATTCTCCAGGGAGAATAGAACAGAGATAAATTAGAGATGCGTTTAATTTTAATTCATTTAACATGCCCAGGATGAGCTGGAGGGTGGGCAGGGCAGCAGGCAGGGAGAAAGAAAAGTGAGAGCAGTTTGCCCCTGGGTACCTCTTGAGAGAGCCTGGCTCATTAGGTTATGAGACATCCTCATTTAGGAAAGATCACAGACCTGGGTTTTGCCCCAGACCCTGTGGAACCTCGCTGTGCCCCTGGACATGCCTGCAAATCTCCACGAGGCTCCTCTGCTTTGGGATCCTTCTTCACAAACTTCCCAACACTCTTCATATCCTTCTTCTGCAAGCCAG